CTAAACCCTAAACCCTATAGGGTAGCAACCCAGTCTAGGGCTTGGCTGACTGCTGCTGAGACACCAGTGTCTACAACTATCCTGGCAGGGCGGCCAGAGAGCCCTGTGTGGAGCTCTGCCGTGTACAGCAAGCTGTGCACCTTACACTCCCCCAAATTAGGGTTTAGGGTTTGGGAGCTTCATCATCATGAGGCAACTGAAGGAAGCGTCCAGCGCTGCACAGCCTAGTCAAAAACATGCGAAACAAATTAGGACCTTGGTGACTACCTCGACTCTAACAGTCGTTCAGCTGTATCGAACTGACAAGAGCCATCGTCACTCTGAAGGTCGACTACAACATGGCCCACTGTACACGGCCGCCGCCACATGGCCCTAACACTGGCCTTGCTCTGCCTTCGACCCTGACCAGAACCCCTAGGCTCAACAGCCCTGACATGCTGGCGTAACCACTGCAAACACGTAGGAGACCTTTGAACATGGCGGACCGCCCTTCGCCTACAGTGGAACTCAACCTGGCAGGATGGGCAGCCTGTACTATGGATGTAGAGAGCCGCTTCGGGAAAGATGCGGTGTTTGAGGGCGAAGTGGCTCCGCAGGCCACGCATTCCCTTAAAGGAACTCTGGCAAACTGGGCACACCTTCATTTCATCTTGCTGGCGCTCAGAGTGCCAAATGTCACCCTGAGAAACGTGTGTGCCGGAGTGACGCCATGCCCTCCTCACAAGGCTCCCGAAAAGCCGCCCCTGCTGTTGCAGAATCAAAAATGCCTGCTCCAGATCCTCTGTAAAGTCGGCCTTCAGAGGGAAACTCCAGCCTGCGGCACTGGCTGTCTCTCTCAGCCACTGTAAGTCTGAGACCACATCTGTGAGCCAACATCTTTTGGAACCTGCTGCGGACTCGAGTATCTGCCGAAGAGGTATGGTGTCCTTGCCAAGGATCTGGCTCAAGAGTCGCAATCGCTCCAAGCGGAGCATTACACTGGGAGCTGGAAGCTTCAAAGTGCGCAGGAGCCAGAAGAGAGAAATTTTTGGATCCTCACGAATCTCTTTATAGGGCACCAGAGCTCTGAGCAACCTTGTAATGCCTGCCTGCCATTGCAATGACTCGCCCTTTGTGAGCCCCGCCCATGAGCCTGTGGCATACAAAGCCTTGGCTAGTACAAGCGACCTGAACAACATGACCCTCACCGCAAGAGGGGCATCGCGGTTGCCGAAGACATGCTTTCGCAAAGGCTTGATAAGGGCCGCAGCACCCTCGATGGCTTGCTCAATGGCAGGAGCCAAAGAACCAGACCACTCAACAGCTGTGCCAAGATGCCGATACTCTGGGGCAACGCGAATGCCCAGACACGGCCCATGATCAGGCAGGACTGCCACACAAAATGGGGGCTGCCGGTAAATCTGAGACTTAACCGCTCTGGAGCCTACCCCAACAGGACAAAGAAGAAGCTCGGTCTTGGAGGGCTTGTAATTCAACTCGAGACCACGCACTGCAAAAGCGGCATGTATTTGCCGTATGGCTGCTCTGCACCTCGGCACGAGGAGATCACACGACGATGCTGTGATGAAAAACACACAGTCGTCTTGCCAGGCCCCTGCAATCGGCATCGCAGAATCAGCAACCCTGACATCTGGCAGCACGCCGGCCCGCGAGATCTGCAAAGAAAACCCCTCCGCCTCAAAGAACTTCTGAATGTCCGTCAGAGCCTGGGCCATCACTATTCCAAACAGGAGGTCGGCCAAGGGGTCTCCAGGACGGCTGCCCCTGCGTGTAGCTACACAATTCGTGGATCCGGTCACCTGAAACCACGTATGACTGAGCACATCTGCTACACGTCGCTGCCAAACCTGATTCAAGCAAGGCTCGTCTTGACTGGCAAGTGCGGAGATGACGTCCCGTGTGGTGTCAGTGGAGAACCCAAGCTTGCCGCACAAAGCCAGCAGTGCGCCGACGTCTGCTTGAGCTGGCAGAAGGAACTCACGCAAAACAGAGTAGAAGGCCGCAGAAATGTCTACAAACAGGCAACCCAGCGGCACACCACGCTCGCGCATGTGCATTTGCACTGTTCGTACCATCAGGGACATCTCCGGGGTGGAGTGGTGACCGATCGGACCTTGCTGCATGCTGTGCGCCACGCTGGCCAGCCACGGCTCTAGCCTCTTGCGTACCCAGCTGTGGTAACGCTTAGCAAGCACCTCAGACACAAGTGTGCTACGAAAGGCGCCTACATCGGAAAGCGAGCCTTTTCCTTTGTACAGCGCGGTCACCAGACCGCCTCGCCATCTAAGCGGCTCGGCCCCAGTGACAGCGGTCTTCAAAGCGAGCGAGTAGCTGCCTTGTGGCACGTTCTGGCCGAGCCCTGCGATTATATCATGAGATATCCCATCTGCTCCTGGCGCCTTGCCTCTTTTCAGCCCATGAAACTCGGCTTCCCACTCCAACAAAGTGGGCAAATCATGCAGGCGGACATGTGGCGTCTCTGCTGCTGCCTGCTCGCCAAACGCAGCTCTACACCGGCTGCACAAGTCAGAAGGAGAAAGGATCTCCCCCCCTTCGATGCGACCAAAATGCTTTGACCACACCATTGCTACTTGCGCCTGATCTTGGCAAGGCTGTCCATCCTCTCTAGGTATGCAAGCGGCTGGGACGAATTTAGACCTGCCCTTAGCTCCAACCCGGAAAGGCTCAAGCACCTTGCACAGGCCTGCAACTGGCCAACTTATCAACCTTGGCTGCCCGCAAGCAGGCTTTCAGCTCCCGGTCAGTATTCGACAGGGCATGCCAGTGCACTGCAACATGTACATCTACGGCCGAGGGGCTGCCATCGTACAAGGCTTCAGTAGCCGGGCCATTAACCGGGCCATTAGCGCGCCAGGCATCGAAGCAACAGCGAAGCACATACCAATGACCTCTTTGCTCCCAAGCTCGTACCTCACGGCGCAGATGCCTTTTGAGATGGACAAGTTGCAGAATGCCAGCGGAGACATAGGACCTTCTAGGCTTGGGCTCAGGTCGCTGGCCGAATTTCTTGCAAAGCTGCTGCACATCCTTAGTGAGGAAGTCCAAATGCGCATCTACCCCTAAAGTCCAGGAGGCTGGCATCAGGACGGGCTTGACCTCAGGTGGAAGAACCGGCACAGGCAGTCTACGGGAGGCCATGACAGCAGGGGAGCGCCCTCCTCCTTTGGACATGGCGAAGGACACAGCCACAGGAAAGTGGTCACGTTCAAGACCGGCCCACTCCAAGTGGAACAGCGTACTCGACCTGGAGACGCCCTGGCAAAAATTGCTGGGGATAAGCACAAAGTCTATCCGCTGCTTGAAACCACTCGGGCTGATCCAGGTATGCTCTGGACCGACATGACAAGGGCTCAAGGCCGGCGCGCACAAATCCAAATCGGCTGCAAAACCTGCCAACGCAAGGCCATTAGGATTCGCCCTTTCGCCCTTCAAGGCCACTCCCGAGCCATCGGGCGACCAAATCCGTCCATTAGCATCGACACAGACAAACAGCTCATCTCGCAAGCATGTAGCACTCCTTATGAGGGACTGCAGGCGGTGCCAGAAAGCATCTCTCTCATCAGCATCACGCTTAGAGTGCGGGGCGTGAGCGACTGCAAACACGACAGAGACTCCCGGCGTGCAAACACGGACAAGCAGTATGTGAGGCTCACTAACGACAACATGCACGTGTGCGGCCTTAACTACAGGCAACCTGTTGGACCAATCCTGAGTCTGGTTGATCCATAGGCTGCAGCCGCCCTGGCCCTGAGCAGTACATGCTGACTTCACACACAGCCACCCTTGTGACTCAAAGCAGGACGCGCTCGGCAATCGCGTTTCTTGCAGACCTATCCAGGAGATTCCCTCCGCACTGAGTTGGGATTGAAGCAAATGTTGGCGCAACGGACCCCACAAGCCCACTCCAGATCGGTCACCCGCCTCACTGCGGCTTCCTAAGGAGCAAACATTGTAGGAGGCTCCCGTCCACATAACCCGTACCTCACCAACCTCCTCCTCAGGCTTATGCATCGGAACCAGAATGTTCCTTGTAGGGACATGTGACGCGAAACAGCTTCACCAGCGCAGCCCGCAGCTAAGGACCACACAGTAGGCAATGAGGCATCATTCCTATCGGGCAGGATCCACGCCCAAGGCAAAACCTTACTAGCAACCAGTTCCCTCACACCCTCCGGAAGGATCGGCTCCTCTGCCCCTCCCCTTGCGGCAGCTGCGGCGCAAACATCCGCCAACTCATTCCACAGCTGACCTGCATGGGCTTGAACATGCTTGAACTCAAAGACTCTCCCGCATGCCCGACCCAGGACTGTGAGATGCCTAGCGACCAAGCTGAGCTTTCTGGCCTGACCCGCGTGTCTTGGTGGTCGCCAGACTCCGTCGGCGCCAAGCCCGGCCGAGTTGCAATCAAACCAGAGAGTGTGCCGAACATGGGCAGGCGCGGACAAAATCCAAAGCAAGGCAAGTGAAACTCCAGCAGTCTCAGCCTCTTGCGAGTCGAAAACCTCCTCCCCCAGGTTCCCTGCTCTCGAATTGAGTGCGAAAGCCCCCAGGAAAGCTATGCCATGAGCCGGCGCGCTGACAGTGACCACTATAGCATAACCAACCTTATCCGCGCGCTCTGACCCGTCAGTGTAGATATGCGTGCTTGCGCCTGGAGCCCACAGCCTATCAAGACCACAGACAGGCACCGAGAGGACCTGCTCACGCAGCCACAATGGTAGCGGAAGGCCTGAGACGTCATGCAACAGCACACACGGCGGGTATCCCCGCGTCAGTCGCCCAATGACTTCTGCCGCTGTGGCACACGCCGTCAGATCCTGCAACACTGACGCATCATGATCTTCGAGGTAGACTCTGAGATCAATGGGGAACTTGACCTCCCCGTATTGGGCGGGACTGCTGGGCGCCGCAAACTCAAAAGATTCATGGTCAAGTATTGGAGAAGGAGACTCCCTATGCTCATCGTGTCCGAAGGGCTTTGTAAAGCTGCAGCCCGGCACCCTTCGTGGAGGGAATGACTCACCCTCCCCGTGCTGTACTAACTCCCCAGCTCGATACTGATCATGTCGCGGAGGGAATGACTCATCCTCCCTGCGCGGTGCAGACTCCCCGCTACTACAATGGCAAGGCACTGAGCGTCTCCCACATGGTGTTGGGACTATAGCCGGTAAAGACCGGATGTCGGGTCGGTCAGGCGGAAAAGGCCCAGGACTGTTGCGCGCAGGCTTCACAACTTCAGAAGGTAGGTCCCACCCGACACTCCCACGTCGGCATGACGTACGTGCCGCAAGCTGGAGCAGGGAGTGGCCTGTATCTTCATCAAGGTCATCATGCTCTAGACCCTCAACTACATCTCGACTGGGATCAGACGCAGCCACAGCAACACCCGTACCGTGTCCCCCCGCTATAGGGCTTTCAGACTCTGGGTGGACCTCCTCCTCCTGACCTGCCCTGTGTGAAGCCGCGCCGGCTTCGGCATCGTGAGGAAGGAAAAGCACGTTTGCCTCATCCGTTTCAAACGTAAGAAAGCGCAAGCGCTCTGCTGGAGTGTGATGCAAGGAGCCGCGTGAGATAAGCCGCAGCATGGGCTGCATCCTCACAAACTGTACCGCTCCCGCAAAGCAATTCGGCACTTGACTCGGCATGTATACGAACAAGCAAACATCTCCTGCTGCGACCTGACAGTCGAACAAAACACCTGGCCCGTGGTGTGTCAGTAACCACTCCTGGACATGGCCGGCAAGATGTGGAAGGGTCGGAGGAGAAAGGCTGGTGACAACCGTGAGCGAGCTCCCAGGCGACAACACCCTGACTCTGCACCCCTCGGTGTAGAGACGGAATTGTCCACCGGACTCCGACAACCAAGCTCGGAGATCAGCTGCCGTTTCTTCGTCAGGGCCAAGTGCCGCTGCAAGCCTCAAAGGCGGCGCGTACCTCCAAGCAGACAACTCCTGAACTCCCTCCAAGTGGAAGAGAGTCGACACAGGCACGAAACCTCCTCCTCGGTGACCAAGGGGGATCTGCTGCAGCATAGATCCCACATGAACTGCCGAAATATCTCGGAGAACCGCCAGGTCGATAAGGAGCTCACTATCAGTCAAACCAAAATCTCCGGCCCTGACACAACTCGGAACTTGCACACGCTGTATCCCCCCCCCCAGAGGCCTGCGATCAAGCCAAGCAAGTGACACATCGCCACCAGTTTGCGTGACAGCCAGGAACCTGACCTCTTGGAAGGTGTGACAAGCCGGGTCCTGAAGTGGAGAGGCAATCAGGAAATAATTCCTAAAATGAGGCACTTCCTGCAAGAGACACTGAAGGGCTCGCGCCATAGCCAGCAGAAGGTGGGGCCTAGAGGCAACACCAATGCCGCTGCCATAACCTGCAGCACCCACCCAAAGGGCGGAGTGCGGCCATCACCTACAAGGCGATCTGGGCTCCACTGCAGACCTCCACCATCCACCTGCAAAAAGGCACCAGCTCTCCCCGCGAAACTCACAAGATCTCCTAAAAAAAAGTTGCAACACAAAGGCAGGGTTCCACGGCCTATGGTTATGGAACATCACAAGCTGCGAGGCTCTCAAGAGCTGCGTACGGACCAGTGATCCGCCCTCGGAGGCTATATGGTTGGCCAAGGACTGTCCAGAAGCAGCCTGAACCTCAACTTCACGAACAAAGACCTCTCCCTCCAAAGGCCGCGTATCAAGGATGATCGTGACAGGCGCGGGCTGCCTTATCAAAAGAACCTGGAAGGAAGGATATCCCGGAACATGTCCCTGGGACGCACCCAATCAGGATTCGGGAACGGGGGGTGGCGCAGCACATGCGAGACCGCCTCTTCCGGACCATTGCCGTGTGGCAACTGATACACCACTGGACCTCTGAGGATGTCGAACGAAGCAAAATCAAATGGCGCAGCAGGCGGCAGGTGACACGCCACAGTCCCAGGAACTATCTCACTGGAAGAGGCAGAGCCGGTGGAATCTCCAGAGCCAGCAACTCGACCATCTCCGTAGTCTCTGGGCGCTGACTCATCTCCATCAAGGCGCAGGTGCACCGCAAACTCATGCCTATCGTCATCTGCAACGACGCCTTCACCTGTGGGCCGTACCTTGCCTCTGACTAAATGACCTGGCTGTGGGCTCGGGCATGACACATCCGAAGACCCGTGTCTTTGCTGCACCTGACCTGAATTCCTGATTAGCCTCTTTGCACCTCGGCCTGACTGACAAAGCTGAGGGTTCGGGCATGACTCATCCGAAAACCTCTCGCCTTGATGCACCTGACCTACCTGCAGAAAAGGCACCTCCATACCTCCAACAGGCTGGCGTGAGTGGGGGTCCGGGCATGACTCATCCGGAGACCACTTGCCTTGCTGAGCCTGGCCTGAACGCGAAGATAACCTACTTGCGCCTGGATCAGAACGACCTGACCAAGGGTCCGGGCATGACTCATCCGAACTCCCTGTGCTTGGCTGGACCTGGCATGCGCGCGAAAACAACTCCCCTGAGAGAGGAGCAGGGTAGAGCTCTTCTAACCGCCCTTGACCTTGCAGCACAGGAGT